GAGACCTTAAAGATCACCTAGTTCCGACCCTTCTGCAATGGGCAGGGACACCTTCCACAGCAGACCAGATTGCTCAAAGTCCCATCCAATCTGGCCTCAAACACTTCCAGGGATGGGGCATCCACAGCTCCATCTATTCCAGTGCCACACCACCCTCATAGTAAAGAATTTCTTCCCAATGTCTAAAACCAAACCCATGCTATCCTAGTTCAAACTATTACCGCTTATCTTATGCGTCTTTGTGACAAGTCCCTCTCCATCTTTCTTTTAGGCCCCTTTTAGGTGCTGGAAGGTCTCCTTGGAGCGTTCCCTTCTTCAGGCTGGACAAGCCCAGCTCTCTCAGCCTGCCTTCATATGAGATGTGCTCCCTGCTCACCTTCCTGGCCCTCAGAGTCACCCCAGCAGGTCCACACACTTCCTGTGGTGGGTGCCTGAGAGCAGGACACAGTGCTCCAGGTGGGGCCTCCGCTTTTAGTTTCATTCAAGACACACTCTAAATATAACAATGTAGTAACAATATTAGTGGCAGCTAAGTATTTTAATTTGCCCTATTATTGAAAAATGAAATTAGTATGGTAAAGCTTCAACATCAGAAGTCAGGGCTGTGGTAGCTTTAGAAAAGTTTGCTATTTAGGATTTTGCAGTAAATTTTCTTTTTTTTCTTAGTTTAATATTTTACTCTATTAACCCACCTTTTTTTTTAATATTAGAATTTAATGATATTCTTCAACAGGAGATCTCATTTTACAGAATTATAAATTTTTTCATGTAGAAGAATTAATTTTCTTCAAAGACAAACTTGAATTTACACTCTCATTCTGAGCATTCAGGCTGCCTCCTTTAAAAATGATAATTGAGATAAACTCCACTGAATTGATGCTTGGTATCTGCCTTTGTGAATTCTCCCTTATAATTCCTTGGTATGATTTTATTAAGAACCCTTCCACAGCTGGGAACAACTGGGTGTGTCACCCCTAAAGAGCTGGGTGAGGAAGTGCTTAACATTTTTAAATAGTAACCAGGCTGACAACTGAGAGTCACTAAGCTTGTATTACATTCTTACTTTGACAGAACCAAAAAAGAATCAAATGAAGTATTAAGACAATCTTGCATCAGTATAAAAAAATTTAAAAATCCTTCACTAACTGCTGTGTTGTAAAACAACATCACCAATTAGAAAATATAAAACACTACACTGAGAAACAAAAATCAAATATACCAAAAGAACTGAAGAGGGACACATAAGCATTTACACAAATAACTGAACAAGATGATATGCACATGACTGCCAGACAGGGTATGTGAGGAGTAAGTCCATCTGGATGATCCTTCTTGGAGCACATGACACATTGCTCTACTGTACCACTGAGCAATAACTTCTGCAGATTTACAGAAAGACTGAACTATAAATCTCAGACATTAATCCACACTCCCATTTTCACTGGCAGAAAAGAAATCATCCATGCCAGGACCATTTTTCCACACCACCCAACTACTAATCTTGCTGATCTGGCAAAGCATAAAGTTTGCAAGGGTTGGAGCAGCAACCAGTAATTTTAGCCAGTCTTTTTCATACAAACTTCTAAACAATAAAATTTTAAGGAGCTTTTTCTTTACAAAAAGGATAATCACATAATCACTTGGAACTGAAAGTCTGGGTATGTAAGAGGATTCTTGCTCCTCTTGTCCCAGATTACTTCTAGTAATTATAGAGGAGGGTTTCACATCATGCCTGTGCATCATCTCAGTTCGAAGAGAAAACAAAACACAAGTGAAAGTTGTAGCCTCCTCACCAGATAGAAAGATTATTTTCTCAGAACAGATTCTGTTCATGAGGAACCGAGGGTCTTGACCTTACCTCAGGTGACACAAGAACACTGTACCACATAACAGAGTTTGGTAACTCTGAATGGCTTTGTGGCGCTGTTCATCAGAGAGCTGTCAGCAAAGGTACGGCAAAAGGCAGCAAGCACACTCAGAAATAAAGTACAAGGAGAAAATAACTCTTCCTGTTGGGAAGGGAGCCTGCCCAGGTGGGACGGGATGGCAGCCTGAGACGGAAACAGCCTGAGGGAATAGGACTTCCCACAAGGTAAAAAGGAGATACCACAGGTAACTGCCAGGCAGCAGAGACAGGAGAAGCACATGGAGCACCACTGCACAGAGCTCATCCATCTCAAAAGGGAGGTGTTCCTCCTGAGGACCTGCCCAGCTCCTGAGGTGACCGATCAATCAAACAAGGGTAACAGGGACAGAGATGCAACCTCCCAGACAATGGGAAAGACTGGTTTTGCTCTTACATAAGATGCCAACTCTCATGTCCTCCTTAGCAGCAGAAGCAGACCCACCCTTTTAATGGTACATTCCTCTGACCAGTTTTCAACATCCAAGGCAAATCAAACACCTTTTCATACCTGACAGTAGATGCATGTCCTACCAGCATGCTGTTCTCTGCCTGTTAAGCTGACTTTTCTAAGCAACAGTTTATTTAATCTGTTTTGGGTAGATAAAAAAACCTGTGCTAACAGTGGTGCAACAGCAGAACACAGCAGTCCTCTTGTGGTGTCAAAACACACACTGCTTCAGGCACACATTAATGTTATCCCACACAGCATATCACCGCTGCTTTAAGATGCGGGCAACTAGCCTCAGGTGATAGCAGCAAAATGATTTTGCTTTGGAATGTTAGAAATCCAAAAGCTAAATGCAATCTTTTGAATAAGTCAGCAAATGAAAAGTTTTACTTCTTGGTGACAAGAAATTATTTACTTCTAATTATGAAACTAGATTAACAGAGGATAAGACAAAAGCAAGACATGAAATAGTACCCCTTTTCTGAGGCCTGACATCCTACAAGTTTTGAAGACATTTGTAATTCATCTTGAATGTATGAAACTACTTATTTCTATTAAATAATAAAAGGACACATCAGATAAAATTCCTGATCAGACAGCATTTCTCTCCTGACACAAATATAAATCTCTCTGAAAATCCTCAGAAAAATAGCTTGCCCTCTGGGTAATAAAATTATCTCTGTAATTAACTTTTCAATGGAGAGAGTTATCTTCATGTAACTTGTTTCCTTTATTTCTTGGAATAAAACTTTCCTCCCATCCCTTTCCAACCTCCTAAATACATCAAAAGTGCTAGTATATTTAGGACACCACTTTACAGCATGCTCACCTACAGAAGTTTTGAATTACTCTGGAAGCATTTAATATACATTGTGGGACTGTCACATGATATATAATGTGTGGAGAAGCAAACTCATACTGAAACAAATTACAAGAACATGGCTGTATGGCTGGCAGCTCTTTTGACTCTAACCCAGACCCCCCACACTGCTGTCCATAAGAAGTACTCAATAGTTAAATCTGCTTTTTTGAAAAACACTAATTAAAGCATTGCTGAGAAGGTATGATGTAAAACCACTGTTGTCTCGTGACAACTTCAAATTCCAGCCTCACTCTCTGCTCACGGAGCCGGGAAGCGAACTGGCGGTGCTGCAAGGACCCAAAAAAGCCTGGCTCACAGACCCACTGGATGGATTTCATGGCTGACCTCTCCCGGGCGCCGTGGTTCCACGTTGGGACGAGTCGGACAACATACCTTGCACAAGAGCTCGCTATCTCGGCCTCCCCGCGCTCCCAGCCTGTCGCTACTGACGCTGCTGAATGCCAGCTCCCGACTGCCTCCAACCCTTCCCAGCCATTCCCTTGGAGCAAACCTCCACCAAAACAACTTTTGCTAGGGCTTTGTGAGTAATTTAAACACGGCAGAGGTTACCAACCCTCCGGCTTTTGGCATGACGTAGGGACCGGCAGGGAGAATGCCAATGTCCTGGAAGTGTGCCGAGTCCCTAAACAGCAGATTAGTGAGAAATTACATTTTGGGTATGAGTCAAAAACTGAAAACACATTGCCATCTCACATATCAGACCTCAAAACAGCATGAACTTTCGTTCTGAAACCAGGCAGAGAGAATGTCAACAGGCTACCACTCAACCCACCTACGAGAGATTTCTTTCTAATTAAAGCAGCTACATATCATTTCACAGTATTTTTTCCTTGTATTTGCAGAAGGATTACTGCCTGTTCCTCTTTGATAAAACTGGTAATTTAAGACAGGAATCAATCCTTCACATTTAACTTGACAGGCTTCCAGCAAAACCCACTAAAGATTTCATTTTTTCGGAGACAATAAATTCACCCTTTTGTCCCAATATAATATAAACAGTTAACACTGTAACAAATCAGTGTGCCCTAGGATGATTTTTGCCTCGACTCATTTATCTTAAAACCCCTGTCTTAACAGTAAAGTTTCACCTTAGTCTCTCAGAAACTAGTAATAAAATTCTTATTAGGAGACAGAGCAGTCTTGAAATATGAAAATCCACGAAATATATTTTAGAACCAAGCCACTTCTATTTCACAGGAAAACTCTCATCTCCATAAACATGCCATTCAGTACTTGATTTCTACTCATACATACACATACATCTCTTGACAGGGGATGTAACACTCAGAGACAAACATCTGATTAATACTTGAGTGGCAAGACCAGCAGTCCTTCAGGAACACTATACCTAAGCCTCAAAACCATTTGGATAAGTATCAGAAGTACCACCTCAGCCTTTCAGATTTACATCGGTGATCACAAATCATAAAGAAAAGTGATGCTTTTGATATAATTTAACAATTTTGCTCCAAGTCTAAAATAAGCTGAACAGTTTCTATCTCAGATTAAATGCTGTAAATATTCATTAACAATTAGTTTGCTTGTAAGGTTACTATTATAATCATACTTCATCTTTTAAATTACATTTCTGAAAGTCTTATCCTCTAGCTTTAACAAGGCTTAAACCCTCACCACAGTATTCAGAACTGCTCATACCAGATTAAAAGAAGAATTTTCCATAGGCAAACATTTAAAAAAAAAAATAGACCGAGAAAGCGCTTAGAGGGAGAAGGGAAAGGAGAAAACAAAACCACAAAACTCACTTGACTGTAACTCGATTGGACAAATCCTGAAGATCTCCTGGGTGAAAAAGCTGAGCTTCTTTGAGTCCAATGTTTCCACACGCTTTCAGAAAAACATTTATATTATCCTGCAAAGAGAAGTAGAAAGCAGTTGCTCAGTTATGAGCACTAAGCAGGTTTTGCAAGATGATTAGTACTAGCCTTTAAATGTCAAAGTCCAGCTCACATAAATGAAACTGGAAAAGCAATCTTCTGGATCATAAACGCTGCTCGTTTCTCATGCACACAGCAGGCTGGGCTGCGATGGCAGGGACTGAGGGCTATGTTAAAGATTACCTGGCATAAGGCAGCAGTGAGCCAGTAGGCAGCAATCTCCACTTTGATGTCAGCTCTGCTCAGCAAACAAACGCCCTCTTCCTAGCTTTGCACGACAAGCCTCACCTCAATGCCTTTAAAAATAACTCCAGCTACTGACATTCACCACCCAGAAACTCTTGGCAGGGGAGGAAGAAGAGGAGGGACTCTTCGTTTCTATGCTCACAGACTGATGAGGGAATACTGCACCTGGAGTCTGGGTTTGGTTGCTGAGCAAAGCTCCGGAGAGACAGAAACCAAACTGTATTCAGAGCTGCTGCTGCCGCCTCACTTGGGGGGGGATTCTTCCCGAGTCCCTCCCCTTCCACTTCCCACACCCCCTCCTCAACTTCACACTGATCTGTTACAAAATAGAGGAGCAGCACCCACTCTGTGCACCTGCTGCAGGATGGACTGACCCATGAGAGAAATGTTAAAAAAAGAATAAATCTAATGATATATACAGAGATTATACAACTTGTGATCTCTTTCCACTTCATGAACAGTGGGCGATAGGCAAGAAATTCCTTCTCGTTAAGGCGGAATGCTATCAACAACAAAAGAATGTGCCCTCTTGCGCACTTGCTTCCTTCAGCTGCAAGCCAAAGGAAAAGGTACATGAAGTTACTTAATTCATAAGCTACACACAGCCCTGTCATTAAGAGTTTGTAAGTCAAAGTGCTGATATCAGAATTTCACAGTATAGACAAGTTCTGCTTTAGCAATTTAATATGCTTTAAAATTATTTTTTGACACATAATACAGTTATTCCTTCATTTAAAAATCATTAAAAAAAACAACCTACAAAGAAAATGACAGCTGCTTCTAATAAAGAAAGTAAAACAAACCCAAGAATCCCCACAACCTTCTGTTTTGAAGGTCCCTGGGATTCTAGTATTTCTTATCAGTCTGTAAACATGGCTTAATTCAAGGAAAATATTTGAGCAAGGTATTCCCCATGCAGGCTGCGGGCTCTGCGTTACCACATCTGAAAGATCCCAGGTGTCTCATACCATGAAGGTTATTCCCCAAGGCCTGAAGTGCTGTGCCATGGCGGGGGCTGCTCTGCTGCAGGGGGTGCAACATGATGGCAAACATGGGGGACTCCATGTGGGGGCAGATGAGAGGAGGAAGCTGGGAAGGATGGAGGACAGGCAGCCTCACCCATGCCCAGGTCCCTGCAGTGCCCAGGGGGCTGCTGCACATGTGCCCAGGGAAGAGCTTCATGCTGTGAGATGCAGCCTCAGAAGGGGCATTTGTTTTTCCTTTCATGCAATGCCCCTTTTTTCTTTCCATACACTATAGGGAAAATTGTCTAGATGTGCCAACTTTAGACAATTAATATCTGAGTGTCCCCTTAGTACTAAACCAGCAAGGACCTGAAAAGGCATTGTTTCCTCTGCATGGAAGAAGCCACAGGCTACATTCCCATTGCAAGAAGAGGAACTACTTGCTAAACAACCACCAGGGCAGTGTTCAGGGGACTAGGGAGTCTATGAAACTGGCAAGTAAGGCACAAGAAGAAAGCAGCAGAGCAGAAAGAATGAGTAACTCCAAGTTAATGAACTGACACCAACACCAGTGAAGGCAATATGGTTTGATTGGTCTGCCCAGTCACCACAGCAACTCAGAGCAAACTCCCAAACCAATGAGTTACATCAACCACAGGGCTGAAAATGAGCACATTGTGCAGGTAAACAAGGAAGAAGAGTCAGATTTAGAAAAACAGATGTCGTCTACACCCTGACAGCAACAAAAACAAAGCAGAGGAGTTGCTCACCAGTGGCTGCTTGGCTGCACAACCACCAAACTCCTGGCACATGACATAATTAATGTTGAAGCTGTTTCAGCAATTAAACCTATCAAGCATCAACCTCTCGATAAATAGCACTTACAGCCCCTGAGAACATCCCTGCTAACAGGAGTCAAGACCATCAGGAATGGGGTCGGAAGCAGGAGGAGCTAACATGGAAGGCAGAACACCGTTAGTTACAGTGCTCACGTGCAGGATAAAACAGGGTTCCAAATCTTCCTTCCCTCAGCTCCCAAGCCAGAAGTTTGATCATGCCTGCCATCTCACAGGTTACTGCCCCAACACCAGCTGTTCTGCAGCCAGGGCCTGGAAATGACCCTCACAGCATCAAGAGATGACACACCCAATAGACTTTTTATCAGGTTTGGAGATTGACACAAAAAGGTATCATTTAAACAAATCAGCACTCCTAAATACTGTCTTTGCCAGGTTATTCTTGACCATTCCTAATCATCATGGTTAATCAGCAAAGCCACAGGTCTTAAAATAGCTAGCAGCCATTTTAAACTCTACCAGAATAATGAACAGGAAGATGAATTTTAAATAGCACTACAGAAATAAGTAGGAAAAAAAAGACAAGTTATCAACCTTCCAATTAAATTTATCATTAGAAATGTGAACGGGAACAGTTTTCAGAGATTAATGCACTCAAATATAGAAACCATTACACCATTCTTTTCACCAATGTAACTGTACTTTAACAAAACTAATGGTCATTGCCACTGCAGCTTCAAAGGACATACTGTAATCCGAATCTCATCACACTTCACAAAAATAGTTCTATTTAAACAACCAGACCTCAAAATCCTGGAAAAGCACAGCACACCAAACCTATCTCCAGGTGACAAAATTCACTGACAAGATGTCCTCAAGAGAAAAAGGCTCATACTTGCATCCACTACCCTCTTCTTCCACTGTGTTCTCAACCTCTGTAAACACGAGGAGGCCACTTAAATTTAATAAAGAAACAAATTAGCAGAGAAAAAGAATTATGATGCCAAGGGAAGATAAGGGACTAAAGACAAACTGGAGAATTTGATACCAATAAAGTGGGTCATGAGAGGCAATACTGGTGCTACCTATCAGCACAAGAGAAGCAAAACCAGAAGGGGAGAGAGGGGCTGCCCATTTCAAAAGCAAGGATTAATCAGTGGACAGAAAACATAAGGTTCTGACCATTATTAGAGAAAGCTCTTGAACTAACAGGGATGAAATCATCAGTTAATTTTTGTTCATGTTATTAAGAGAACTCAATCACTGCATTTCCCTGAGCCTCTGAAGTTGAAATACACATCACAGAATTACAGGTTTTAAATCACAACAAAAATAAAGCCTGAAGTCTAAACCACAAAATTCAAGTGTAATTAATTTCTGGTATGCTATTTCTACTTCTAAGTGTCTTAGTGAGAAGGGGTGTGGAGGTTTGACTGAGACTGTGGGAAGGGCTAGTTTTTTCCCCCAGTGGTGGGCATGATGGAACAGCAGAGCATTTCAAATGTTCCTAGCATGGCTTGAGTTTTCCACATGTTGTACACACTTAGATTAAATGCACAACGTAGAACACTGACTAGATAGAGCTATTACCCTTCAGTATTCCATTTTTGCCTCAAACTTCAAAGTGAACCGCACCCAAAAGTGCTGCAAAGTCATAATATGGGAGAGATGGAGCTGCCAGTGGGAAACAGGTCATCTACAAGCAGGCTTTTAAATACTGCTGTTCAGGGAAAAGGCAAACAATACTGTACAGTTGCAGCTCTGTACCTGACTTTCTGGTCCCTATGGGGCACCACTGGACACAAACCCTTCCCTCTCCTGTTGTTAAAGCATTTCCCTCCAACCAATGCTTTGAAGGAGCCAAGATGCCATCTCTACACTGAAAATGAGACTGTGGTCCACACCCTCCCTCCAGCATCTGAGCAGAGCAGAACTGCCTCTCACTCCTGCAACTCCATGAACTTGAGGAGAGGAGCTCCTCAAAGCTGAGTCTTTCCTCACTGGTCCTCAGTGCTGCTCCTAGGCCAGGAGCAGGGAGGCTGTGCCAGAGCAGGTGAATGTGAGGGAAAGAGCCGGGCCATTGCTGCAGGGCTCCTCATTGCTATCACCAGCCTCCAGACCACAAAGAAGAAAGAAGCTGGTAACTCCATGGGGAAACACAAGAATTTGGACACCTTCCTTTAAAAATAACAATTTTAAAGAGCAGCTAAAAAAAAATAAAATTGAGGCATTGGACCACTGGACCGTGGTTCTGTGTCGCACCTGTGATCAGCTCCTAATGTATGTTACCTTGGCAAGAATTTGAAAAGACAGACAGAGCACTGGTGAGGTGTTGGTGGGGGGGAAGTACAGAGGTTCCTCAACACCTAATAAACCAAAGAAAAAGAGTACTTCTAAACCAGAAAAAAAAAAATCAGCATGAGCAACAGGAAAGAAAAAGACAAAAGATGCAAAAAAGATCAAGAAGAGGTTGACCTTAAGTAGGAAGAAAACCCCAAAGTCACCTACCTGAGAAGGGGCATAAAGTGTGGAGTGTGTAAAACAAAAAAAAAAAGAATTTTTTTAAACATCTAAAGTAAAAGTGAATTAAAAGAGGTCTCCCCATGTAAAGACTACCTTATTTTGACTACTTACATGCAACACAACATCACCAAATTCAGCTTGTGTAATAGAGCTGCAATTTTATTTTTAAAAAATCCCACATTATCATGATTATCTGGGTGGGACAGGAATATTAATTTAAACAAGTGCTTAAATACATTTGATTTCTTTAGGGTGCAGTCATGCTGTGTGGTAAGCCTGATCTTCTCTCTACTTAACTGTTTCTCTGAATCCCTGTGTATGCGCCAAAACACAGTGAAATCTCGTAGGCATACAAGTTATGGCACATCTTTCAAATCACTTGGCAACAGGGAGAAAAACAATTTAATTACCATGTTGTTTTTTGTTTTTCCTGGATGTATCAGC